AGCAAGAACAGTTGCCTAAAGAATTGAGAAAATTCAGAAAAACAAACATGAGTAGTCTGTTAAAGAACAAGGCAAATGGTTTCAAGTGATCTTCCTTGGCTGTTGTTGAGTTGACAAATGTTATCAGTACCGCTCCGTTGTAGTCTGAGTTGTCAACACTGAGCTTGAAGTGACTGAAGAATTAGTCTCTATAAAAAGTTTTTGCAGAACAACTTTATGTGAGAATATTATCAATGAAGTTTAGAAAACAGCCATTTACTACAACCTGAAGTGGAATCCACTAAGATGTACTATAAGTATTGGTAGTAAAAATATGTATATAGTAGAAAAAGACTTAGTTGTACACATTGTACAACACTCTTGAAACTGTAAGGTGTTTAAATTCTGTGGTTATTCATTGTATTATTCAACAACAGGTACTTTGCAGAACATATTTGAATTTGTTGTTGTGTAGTGCCAAAGGGAATTTCATTGCTCTCATGGACTTAACCATTGTCAGTTATGTGAATTTTAATCAGGAATAGAGGCTGACTATCTTGACTTGCCTCACAGCAGTTTATGGCTTAGCAGTGGTAAAGATTTATAGTGATATTTTGAGCTCAGAATCTAGATTAAAATACTTCTGAATGAGAAGAACCAACTTTAGCTACTGTGTTTGAATACTGACTGGCTTTGGAAATTAGCTTTTGCTACAGATTTGATAATGGTTCTTAATTAATTCAACCTAAGATTGCAAGGCAAAACAATGTATATATGCAAAACCTATAATGTGGAAAAGTCATTTAGAAAAAAACATTGTAATGACAAGTAATCTTTTTAAAAGTGCTATAACAATGAAGACAAGAAGCAAGATCACCATTCCCGCACAAATTTGCAGCAAATACATTATCTGAGCTGAAATTATAGTTCCAGTAGAATTTTTCAGACCTCAATGCAAGTGCAAAGGAAATTTCCATGTTTCTAAATCCATTTCACTGTATAATTGAAGAGCTTCAGTCTTTGATTGGAAGTGATTAACTTCTAATGTAATAATATTCTAAGAGAAGAATCTAATAGAATTTTATAAATGCCTTCCAAACTAGTGAATATGCTCAGTTAAAATCGTGTGCTTGTGGATTGATATCAGTATTTGGCAATAATTACCTGGGTGAAAAGACATTTTAAAAGATCAAATATGTAAAATCTCATTACAGATCAGCATTAATGGATTATCATTTGCAGTCAGTTTTGATGATAGAGAACACTTAGCTTTGAACCTCAATTAGGCAAAATGTTTTTTCAACACCGCCCCCCCCCGCCCTGCCCAAAGTATTCCATTCTTTTTACTGGTAGACTTATATTACAAAAAAATGAACTCAATTATTATGTAGGTTGAGCATTCCAAATCTGAAAATTCAAAATCTGAAATGCTTCTAAATCCAAAAATTTTTTGAGTGCCAATGTGATACTCAAAGGAAATAGTCCTTGCAGCATTTTGGATTTTGGATTTTTGGATTTGGAATGCTCAGCTGGGGTATATTCTGCAGATATCCAAAATTCAAAAAATCTGAAATCTGAAACATTTCTAGCACCAAGAATTTCAGATAAGAGATACTCAACCTGTATTTGAATTTAATCAATAAAATGTTGTGGAAATTTTGTACTTTTTAGGCTGGGCACAGTAGCTCATACCTCTAATCCAGCACTTTGGGAAGCCAAAGCAGGTGGATCACCTGAGATCAGGAGTTTGAGACCAGCCTGGCCAACATGGTGAAACCTTGTCTCTACTAAAAATACAAAAATTAGCTTGATGTGATGGCACACGCCCCTAATCCCAGCTACTTGGGAGGTGGAGGCACAAGAATTGCTTGAACGCCGGAGGCAGAGGTTATAGTGAGCTGAGATCACACCACTGCCCTCCAGCCTGGGTGACAGAGCAATATCCTGTCTCAAAACACAAAAAATATAGATTTGATTTTGCATTTTGGCCCATAAAGCCTAAAATACTTTTTTCTTTACAGAATAGGTTTGCTGACACCTGGATCAAAGTACAGATGTTTGGCTTCATCTTATCTAACAAAAAATTACTGTTTTCTTTAACGATGTTAGCAGATTTTGCACCCTTTTAAAAAGTAATAAGTTAGCTAGCACATTAAAGACTGATCGATTTTGAAAAACATTTTTATAGTAAAATCATCTTTTTATATATTTTTCTTTGAATTTTTACATAAATGATGTACTTTGAATTTCGTATTCAGGTGTTTGTTACCTAGAATTTCAGTGAAAAGAAGTAATAATTTTATTTATAAATTTAATTAAGAATAATTATTTATATTTCATTTAATAACACATTCAAGTCATAAGTTCTTCTTTCCATATGGAATAGTTTCAATTTATAGTAGTTAAATATTTCTAGAGAAAAACTAGAAACTTAAATAAATTTGTAAATCAAACATTGACATTCATAAAAGATCTCCTCTAAGATGATTATTTCTGTTCCACCATGCCAACCTATATAAGCAGGCAAATTTTAGAAATGTTTAATTTGAAAAGTTATTAGTATTCTTTTCCATGTCCCTTCTCGGATGTAATATGATAGATTTTCAAGGTTTTTTTTTTTAAAAAGTAGTGCTTAATAGTTTCAGGGTTGACTAAATAAAACATGTACTTATTTCCTTATAAACAAAGAGAACATTTTTATTACCAGTGTATAAAAAGAGATTTGATACTGATTTTGTAAATTAATGCAGGTAGGGTATTGAAAAAGAAATAATAGAAAGTAATGTTTCTGAAAATGTTAAAAAATATGTATATATATTTCAATTTAGAAAGGTGCTTTATGCTATGTAAAGTCAATTTTTTTCCTAAATGGCTTGTAATATACAATATAGGCAAAAATATGAACTATATGTGGGTGAAGATTGAGATAATTTTTGTCTCTAAAAATCAGTTAAATTTTGAGAAATCCTAAAATGAGAAGGTTTTCTTGTGTTTGCTACTGTTGTGTTTGGCATGATTTTTTTCTTATATCTAAGTATCTTAATATTTGATTTAGCTTTGATTTGAATCTTGTTTTCTAGATGGAGCACTGGATGATTTAAAGTCCCAGAGGAAAAAAATAGTAAGTTAACTTTTATTTAAAATTAATTTATATTAAACTAATAAGAACAGAATAATTAATGTTTATGTGTTATAAGTTAATAACTCTCCAAGGAACAAGTATGCTTTTAGATAGCATTTTAATGATGAAGTGAAATTGTGAATATTTTTGCTAGTTAATAATGATTGACAGGAAAAAGTAGTTTAGAAGGATTTTTGAGATTCTGAGAATTTATATCAGTGGGAAGCTGAGAAATAAGTAAATGAATCATACTGGAGGCCTAAATGATGCAAAGAGGGTTAAAAAGGTGGATACCCAGATTGTTTATTAGAGCTAAAAAAGGACCAAATATCTCTACAAGTCAGTTCTCAGTTTTTCTTAACACCAAGAAAGAGAGGGAATCAAGAAGACTGGTTGTAAGAGAGAAATTCAACATGAAAATACTGAAGAAGAGTTGGTGGCAGGGGAGAGAGAGAGAGAATTGTTTTCTTCTGAGTTTTCTACTTTCTGTCACTAACTCTGATCACATTGATATCTATTGTGGGGCTAGTTGATGCATTCCTTTGGATGTGTTGGAAAGAGGGCCAAGAGTAAGACAGGAGGAGCTCTAGCTGTTGATATATAGTAGTCTGTAGTAAGTGAATTGAAGTTGGTATTTGACACAGAGTTCCTTATTTTTTATATGATTATTTTTGAAGTATGAAAATGATGACTGCTGATAGTATTATGTTGTATAGAAATGCATTTAATGAAATTTAGTCAGGTGCAAATGATCAATCAATATATTTTAGTCTAGTATGTAACAAGTAATAATTATGAAACCAATATTATGAAGGTTAAAATTAATGTTAAAAATTTTTCTGTGAATTGATAATAAAAGATACTGGCCTTAAGGGCTTTAAGTACCTGAAAAGTAAGAGAAATATTTAATTTTAAAAGGATTCCTTAGCTTTATTTGTTTGCTCCTTATTCAGTATACTATGAAGTATTTATCAAAATTGCATTGGCAATTTTGGTGGTCCAAGCAAAACACAGAAATATCTTAGTATTATGTTTCTCCTATTCTGCACATTATGGAACAGCCAGAAATTCAAAGTGAGGAAATACTGATGGTCTCAGTGATTTAGAAGTTGTGATATGATTGGTTTGGCTTGCTGATGAGATAAAAAGAAGAGCTGGTACTGGTGATCAGAAACAAGTCCTGCTTATACCAAAATGGCAAAGTATTAAAGTAGAAAAGATGAAGAAGAAGACAAAAGAAAAGCAGAAAACAAAAAAGTCCTAAGTGATGAGAAGCAGGTCAATACCACTGGCATCACATGGCCAGAAAATAGGATCTTGAAGAATATATGATTTTGGAAAATCTTTCAATAGAGTAACAGAGCCGACTTGGAAAATTGTGTGTAAGGAGAAGTCAAGCTATTTACTACTTTTAAAATAGCCTTTAAAGGAATCTCATCATAAAAGATGATCCATTTTAAGTCTGACAACAGTTGGGAAAGTTCAGCGTTCACTAGCTCTGTATGTTTAAATGGCTCATTAGGCCTCAGTATTAATAATTCAGTATGGCATTTCTCTTGCAGTGTGACTAAAGAAAAGTAAGTTGGCGCTAATTTATTAATTAAACACAATTTGCATTTACTTGGTTATAATACTGTTTGCTACTGGAACTAGTCTGTGGTCAAGCCCTTAACAGAGCTACTTTGAGTAGTTTTACACTTTGGTTTATTTATTTATTTTTTTGAGATGGAGTTTTGCTCTTGTTGCCCAGGCTGGAGTGCAATGGTGCGATCTCGGCTCACTGCAACCTCTGCCTGCCAAGTTCAAGCGATTCTCCTGCCTCAGCTTCCCAAGTAGCTAGGATTACAGGCATGTGCCACCATACCTGGGTAATTTTGTATTTTTAGTATAGATGGGGCTTCACCATGTTGGCCAGGCTGGTCTCAAACTCCTGACCTCAGGTGGTCCACCCACCACAGCCTCCCAAAGTGCTGGGATTACAGGTGTGAGCCATCACGCCCGGCCAGTTTTACACTTTGGAAAGATAGGTATTAAGGGCAAATTAGTAAGGAGCATAGTGCTAACTAATGATCATGTTAGTAGTGGGCGGCAAAAGCTAAACATAATCAAAACTGATCTTGTTCATTGATGTTTAGGTTTAAATACTACATTTATAGTTTCAAAAATACTTTTATTGCTGAAATGACTACAGAAAAAAGAACTCTTGTCAATCTAAAACTATGTAAGTCCCAACTTTCTCTTTCATTAACAAAATTAATGCAAATTATATTTACTACTTGATATTTTATTAAAAGTGGTTTTCTTGGGGATGCATCCCTTTAATCTGAATAGATTTGTAATGTAATTTGAAATCTGTAAAATTGTAATTTGTAATGACAGATATAAATTATCAATTGATTAAAAAGTTAAATTAGGAAAATGTAGCATCTTAATGTTTTCAGAGCTTAGTGTATTTACTTATTAATATAAAGTTAGGAAGTAATCTTTAGTTAGCTAAAAAATTATCAAGTCTAGATGTGTGCATTTTACCACTCACATATTTTGTGGTCCTTTAATAAAACTTTAGTTTTTAATAATCACGGAGTAATCTGTGCAAGCAGATAATCCCTCTGCATCCATGAACATTCCTTCAAAACAGTTCAAAAGTCAAGCTGTATCAAAATACATGAGTCAAGATTACCTCTTTAAGTGGCTTCATGAAAATTTTGTGCTTTTTTCAGAATGGTAGTCCTATGTAGTAATTTCTAGCATTCTTCAGGAAATTTATGTTTTTCTGAATTCTGAGAAAAATCACTTGAGAAATTGGGAACTTGACGAAAAGTGTTATGGTTCCCTGAGAATTAAAGCTTAGCAATCAACTACAGATATCACTAGTTCAAAGGAATCCACTAATGTCAGCTGAAAGCAAGAGCAAGAAATTCTGACATGCCGAGTTACAGGTTAATGGTGACATTTCTCGGAACAGTACAGAAACATCTAGAAGCGGTACAATCTAATCAGCCTTGGGGGCATGTTATAAGTGTGCTTTTATGGCTTTCTCTTATTAATGGTGAGTCATTCTTACAAATAAATATTAATGTTTATATATCTACTATAATTTATAAATGTATAAAGTATGCTTTGTACAAATTCTATGCATGTTATTCCATGAAATAAGTTTTGGAAGCAAAAGAAGTCCTTAAATTGGCAGTTTTAGCTTTTATTCTTTATAGAGCTCTTAACCTTATAGCGCCTTCAAATGTTACATTTTTATATTACCCAGTAATATTTTCTGGCTTTTCCCAGTATTTGAATATTCACTTTAGGCCACACAGTAACAGAAGAAAATGCAAAGAAGAAAGATGTGACTATTATTGTGGAATATTCTTATATGAAAGCAGAAAATGCTGTAACATCTGAGTTAGTAAAAACATCATCACTTTCAACAGCAACCCCCAAATCAGGGTAACGAGAAAGTATTTTCAGCATGATAAAAGGACAAGTTTATATGGTATAACATGCTCCCTAATACTCTGAATTGCAAAGTCATTGCAAAATGAAAGAAAGTTTTCTTACATCTGGAATATTTGTCATCAATAAATATTGGATAAGGAAATTAATGCTTTGTGTGTTTTAAGATTCTATTTCAAGAATGATTATTTCAGTATTAAGTATTTGTAGAATTGTCTTTCAAAACTTAAAAAGTTTTTTTTTTGACATTTGTTTTGTGCTAGTGTGCCCTTCTTTTAATGTTTTCCAAGATGAAATGGCTATATTAAATAGAAATGATTTCACAATAATGTTATCATGTAATATAATCATGTATTTATGTTCTATCTTTTAAAACAAAAAAACTCCTAAAACTTATAGTACCACCATATTACAGAAAAATGATTCATTCTTTGTTATATCACTCATTATGTTTAAAATGCAAACTTATTAAAAATACAGAGTAATTTATGTTTTAGGGCAGGTGTATTCAATCTTTTGGTTTTCCTGGGCATATCATATGGGAAGAAGAAGAATTGTATTGGGCCACAAATAAAATACGCTAGCATTAACGATAGCTGATGAGCTCGAAAATAAAAAATTGTGAAAGAAGTTATAATATTTTAAAGTTTATGAATTTGTGTTAGTCTACATTCAAAGCTGTCCTCGGCCACATGTGGCCTTTGGCCGAGGATTGGACAACCTTGATTTAGAGAATTCTCAGGAATTCTAGTTTCTTGTTCCTGAATCTTGAGGTTAATCTGTTGAGTTTTTGAAAATTGTTTTAGGCCCATTTTGAATAATTGAGGTGTCATTGAAAATTATGTTAATGTTTTAGGCACTGTTGTGGACCCTTTCTCCTATATTACGTTTTTAAAAAACTGCACAGTAGTGCTGTGAAGAAAGTATTAAAATATCTATGCAGAGGAGAAACTGAGGCTGACAGACATGCTGACAGTCTTCCTAAGAATGGAAATGTGCATTGAACCCAGATCTTTTCTCACTTCGAAGCTTCAAGTTCACGTTCTTTCCACTGAACAGAGCGTCTCTTTATTCAAAACATATTATTCACTTAAATGTTGTATGAATGTGTGTTAGTTAAGCTATTATGTGAAAATATTTTACTAGAAGTAAATGCAAAAGAAGGGAAATAGATTTGTATCTTTTAGTATTAAAAATGATTTTATTTAAGATAAATAAAAACATAGATACACTTGAGTACTTGCTGAATAATTGCCAGGAATGTAATCATTTGAAAAATTAGTATTTTGGTTTGGGGTTTTGTGTGTTGTTTTAAAGATCACAGTTTAATCTTTTTAAACCTAGTAGTAGTTTTAGTCTAGAGATATCTGTCCAAATCAGTATGACTATTTACATTTACATTATTTAAAATGAAATAAAACTACAGGAAGGGTGCAGTGGCTAACACCTGTAATCCCAGCACCTTGGGAGGCTGAGGCTGGTGGATCATTTGAGGCCAAGAGTTCGAAACCAGCCAGGCCAACATGGGGAAACCTCATCACTACTAAAACAAAATTAGCCGGATGTGGTGGCGTGCACCTGTAATCCCGGCTACTCGGGAGGCTGAGGCAGAGAATCACTTGAACCTGGAAGGTGGAGGCTGCAGTGAGCCAAAATTGCATCACTGCACTCCAGCCTGGGCCACAGAGTGAGACTCCATCTAAAACGAAACAAAACAAAACAAACTACTACAGTTCAGTTCTTCAGTTGCACAAGCAGCATTTTAAGTGCTCATTTATTACATAGGACTTAGTGGCTACTCTTATGCTGATATAGACGATTTTCATCTTTACATAAAGTTTTATTGCACAACACTGATATAAAACATCAAAAGTCTAATGTGTAGAGTACAGAGATTTGGTTCTTTGATATTCCATGTCGATTATGTTGATTTGGGGATATATTTTATTATGCCCTCTTTCTACCTCCATTCGTAGTTTTTCTAACTCTAAAGTGATACTATAAACATCTCCTTTACATCAGAAAAGTCAACTTGCTTATTCTGAGAATTTATCATAATTTTGATATAATTAGGAAAATATTTTAGTTTCACTAAACCAAAGCAAGTCTAATAAATCATTCATCTAAGTACCTAACTTCTTAAATGTTGAATTGAGTGTTTAATGAGGAATCTGTTAACTGCTATTGTGGCAGCATATTTTTAACTCAGTAAATGTGCTCTGGGTTGCATTTTAAAATAAATCTCCTTTGGAATGAATATAACATTTAATGAATCTAAGTGGTTATCAGTGGTCACTGAGAAAGAAAAGGTTCTGTTCCAATTTTTGCAAAAGCGTTTTATCCTTCACATTAGGTAATTTGTCATAACTATGACTGTCTTGTACTAAAGTTCAACTTTTTTTTGATGTTGGGCCATAACCACTAGTGATACTTTACTAGTGATTATATTTTAAGTTAAGCCCATGTATTAAGCTATAAAGTGACTTGAGTGAATGGTAAATAAAATGTTACAATAACGAAGTTATTTAATTGTAGCTCCTAGTGTGAACGTAGAACTCAGTAAAATTTTTACTTAAATTCTGTATTCAGTTTTTTCCGCTAAAGTTGTTTGGATCTAAGTAAAAAAGAGGTGAGGGTTATCTTTTAAGGTCATTTGAACAAATTCCATGGCTGTTCTCCCAGTTAGTGAGTTTTCACTGCATTTGCAGCAAGCTAATTGCTTTTGCTAATAAATAATCTAAAATCGATGCTGACAGCAGTTAATTGGCACAGAGATTTTATTTTGTAAAGCTCTTGGCTAACGACCTTCTTTAAATTAATAGCATTAAGTGCTATGAGGAAATAAATCTGAGGAATTGCCTGTCATTTGCTTGTCATGTCTAATAACTTCCAATAATGATGGCTGATAGATTTTTGCACATTCCATTATTGAAGTTGGTGCATGTAATTATTCTCCTCATTATATGTAAACAATTAGCAATATTTGGTATTTTCTTGCAGTAAAGCTATTAAGTACAAGTAACAGAGGTTAGAAGCCGTTTTAAAATCTGGATTTTAATTATTTGAATGTAGGAAGTCTTTCATTCTATTTGGACATATTAAGGGTATTTATTTTAAACCTTTTTGAATAGGACTTATAAAAATAAGTATTATGTGTTTTAAAATGTGACAATTTATGGAAGTTTTTGTTTGTAGCTTGAAGAAGTCATGGAAAAAGAAACTTACAAGACGGCTAAATTAATTCTTGACAGGTTTGATCCAGACTCAAAGAAAGCAAAGGTAAGACTGTGATATCATTACTATTTTATTATAAATTACACATTGTAATAGGTCACTGTAATAACATTATTATAATTGACAGGAGTGTGAGCCGCCATCTGCTGGAGCAGCTGTAACTGCAAGAGCTGGACAAGGTAAATAACTTTGTAGAAACTGCTGCTGCTGTTGGAAAGATCCATATTTACCCAAGTGAGTTCAAAAGTGTGTTGGAGGTGTGCAAAAACTTATGTAGAATGCTTTTATGTTAATTTATAGTTGGTAATTTGGGATATGACTTAGGGTGGATGGTAATAATTTTATTTCATTTTGATTTTATGGGAATATGTAAAGTTAGGATATCACATCTGTTGAGATTAAATATAAAATTGTTTTTAATCTTTTAAAATTTAAGTAATTTCATCAATATTTTGTAAATATTTCCCACTTTCAGATAATAATCTCTTGGAATATCTGTTATTATTTAAATCCTTACCTTTTTATGTTTTATTTTTGAAAAATGTAATGGTTTCTGTGAAATTTGAAGTTTCTTTTAAAATAATACCTAAGAATAGAATAAAATAATTTAGAAATAAGAAAAATGAAAATTGAATTATTACTATATAATATTAACGATTTTTGAGGTTATATTACCATATTATTAATGAAGTCATCACTATTACATCATTAAATGTAATATAAAATTTTAACAGTCATTATATTAAGTGATTACATAAAATATTCCTAAGCCTGGCATGGGAAAAAATATTCTGAGTTTGCAACAACTTTCGTCTTTGTTATTTTCTCTAATAGTATAGCTTGTAAGGGTTTTGTTGCAATATAGAATATATTACTTTAAAAATTTTAACTTCAATTTTTGCACCCCCCCCACCAAGAATTATAACCTGCTTTGTAAAGGTAGAATGACATTTAGACCCTTGAAAGGAAATCTTTTTATAAATATTCACAAAGATCATGGATATTAAAGAAGTCGTAATAATTTTAGGTTTTCTGATTGGCAGGGCTGTATGGGAAGAATTCCCTCTACCTCCACATCATCCATAAGTAGTATTTTGGTTCATAGAAATATTAACCTTTTTTTTTTTATTTTGAAGCCTTCACTTTTGCAAAAAGTGAAAGTTCACATATGATTAAAATGAATTAGGCATATAGTTGCAATAAACTCCTACTTTCATAACCAGTTTAAATTTTTCTACAATGTATATATGTCTTTCTAGCAAGTACAAAAACATTTTTTGGCCTATAGACCACATTTCTATAATTTCTAAAGCATTTGTATAACTGGTACTAATTTTTCAGGAACACACACACACACACACACACACACACACGCGCGCGCGGAGGTAACTGAGTTTCTGTGCTTACTGATTCCAGATAGAGGAATGAATGTTCCTCCCAATGTTCCTCTGGGAGGAACATTGATTCTTGAGGGAAGAATATTCCAGATAGAGGAATCAGTAAGTGCAAAGACCCTGAGTGAAGAACATGTCTGGACTGCTGTGGAATAGCAGGAAGGCCTGTATGACTGGACTAGGGAGAGTAGGAAGAGTGGCAGCAAGAAAGTAATAAGGGGTCATCTCATGTAAGGCTTTGTAGAATGTGGACCATTGTAAAAACTTGAGTTCGCAATTAGGATTTTTTGTTTAGAAGTTTTGTTTTGAGCAGAGAATTGACATGGTCTCCATAATGTCATTAAGGCTACAGTATTGAGAAGAGGCTGCAGAGGGAGCAAAGGTGAAAGCAGGAAGACTAATTAGGAAGCTACTGCAGTAATACAAGAAAGCATTTGATGATAGCTTAGACCAGGAGTATCTAATCCCTAGGCTACGTTGGAAGAATTGTCTTGGGTTACATATAAAATACACTAACACTAATGATAGCTGATGCTAAAAAAAAAAAAAAAAAAATCTCATAATGTTTAAGAAGATTTAGAAATTTGTGTTTGGTTACATTCAAAGCCATCCTGGGCCACAAGCAGCCCATGGGCTGTGAGTTGGACAAGCTTGGTTTAGACCTTGGATAGCAATATTGGAAGTGGTTTTTAAAAATAATTAACTTGGCCAGGCATGGTGGCTCATGCGTGTAATCTCAGCAGCTTGGGAGGCCGAGGTGGGTGGATCACCTGAGGTCAGGAGTTTGAAACCAGCCTGGCCAACATGGTGAAACCCCGTCTCTACTAAAAATACAATTAGCCAAGCGTGGTGTTGGGTACCTGTAATTCCAGCTACTTGGGAGGCTGAGGCAGGAGAATTGCTTGAACCCGGGAGGTGGAGTGTTTAGTGAGCTGAGATTGTGCCACCGCACTCCAACCTGGGCAACAGCTTGAGACTCCATCTCAAAAACAAACTAATTTTTTAAAATTTAATTTCCTCTTTCTCTACACCCCAGCTTAAGGTCGTTTATGAAATGGTCAGATTTTGTATATATTTTAAAAATAGAACCCAAAAGATTTCTTGATGCATTGGATATGGAGTCAGAGGAGGAGGAGTCAAGGATGACCTTAAAGATTTTGGCC